AGTTTAGAATTTCCCTTAGACTTTCCTAAAAAGTGATTTGGAAGAGGCAAGGCAGGGGGACAGAAAACAGGGGCCCCTAATTCTGGAAGCTGGTCATGGAAGGATGGCACATACACCCACGTGCTAGCAGAAGCCTCCAGTCCAATGTTAGGTCATCCATCTGTCTGTAGATGGGAAATAACCACCGCAGTTACCCTGAGTAGCTCTAGGGGTTAAATGAGAGAGCACGTGCCTATCACAGTGTCTGCTTGCGGCCACTTATTCTGTGTTAGGTAAATCTGGATCTGTAAACAGGTGAAATTTGATTAAGGAAGTGTACTTATCATCATGGAGTGGCTATTGCGGCTTTTCAATATGGTAGTATTGACTGAGGCTGGTCTGTGGACCAGCTTCTGCATGCGATCCTTTTTCTTTCTTCCTGTGCTTGGTTGACCCCAGAGTAGAATTATCCTGAATTCAAACACATCCCACTGCATATACTCTGAAACTGGCCTGCAAAATCAAGCCGAGTCCATCTTGGGGCTGGTTCTCAGCCTTCCTACTGGTGGCTGGTCTGGAATGAAGCCTCTCCCTCCAGCTTCTAGGCCTGTTCTAGAAATAGATGCTCAGATCCACATACTCCAGAAATGCAGACCCAAAGACAATTTTTCTGAAGACTTTTCAGTATGCGTGGGTTTTGAAAGCAGGTAAAGAGATGGTTTTAATCTTGGCCAAACTAAGGGAAATGGTCACAATGACTTGTCAGTGAATTATTTATCAATAGTAAAATAACTCAAAGAAAATGTCATGGCCAGTGTTAGGTGCGGGGTGCATACAAGGCAAGTGCTGCCTGTGTGTTCACATTTTGAAGAGGCCAGAGGCTCCCGTGTATGCCCATCTGGGATCAGCATGAGCTGGGCCCTCCCTTGCATGGGGGTAGCACTTTGGAGGCTCCAAAGCGCTCTCTCTTCCAGGCCTCATTACAGACTCACAAGGACTGAGTGAGGCCACATTATTACTCTTCGCTTCTAGAGGAGAAGGAAAAGGCTTGAAGTCTGTTGTGATTTGCCCAAACTGGTAATAGCAGTGGCAGGACTATGGTGAGACAGCCACGATGGTCATTACCAGCAGCCACAAGAAGGGCAATATTTACCAAGTGCTTTCTTTGAGCCAGCACCATGGTGGGTCAGCCCTGTGAGGAACAGTGGCATTCCCTGGAGATCAGGAGGTGGAGTGCAGGGTGGTGGGAATCTGCTCAGTGAGAGACGGAGATAGGGCTGAGAACCTGGGCTCCTTGCTCTCTGCACCCCCACTCTGAGCCTTAGCCTTCCCCATGGCCATGTGACTCTCTTCCTGCTGAGCCAAGGATGCCTGCACAGGCTCTTTTCCATGTATGGGTGGTGCATTCTGATGGCTACTTCCACCTATGAGGACAGAAAGTTGAAGCAACAACAGGGGCTTTGACATTTCATTCAGCAGGGAGAGGCTGAACCAACAGAGGGGTGTGTGTGTGTGTGTGTGTGTGTGTGTGTGAGAGAGAGAGAGAGAGAGAGAGAGAGAGAGAGAGAAAGAGAGAGAGAGAGGGAGGCTGAGTCTGCCATCCCCTGAGATCTCTGAACATGTGTGCTCTAGCAAGTGTGACCGTCTCAAAGCCTAGTTGTAGCTTCCATTGCCCAGAAGCCTTTCAGATGACAAGAGCAGTCATGGTTTGAACCCTCAAGGAAAGCAATGTGACCACCTCACTAGAGTGAAGAAATGAAATGAGAAGTGAAATTCCCGGAAACTAGGACTCTGCTTTGTCAGCGACAAAGTCCCACCTCAGCCCTGACTTCAAAATATGAATTGGTTGGTGTTCAGTTACTGGGCTCTTGTGCAGTGCTTCGATCTTCTTACAGGAGAAGAGTAACTTTCCATGATAAAAGATGACTTCTGGTGACAAGAAAATCAGCTCCGCATCCTCCGTCTCACATTCCTAAGCACGGACTTCCTGATGAGGTCCTTCAGAACTGAAAACCTGGTGAGACATGTCTGAAAGACGAGGCCTGGGCAGCAGGAGGCAGGCAGCAATCCTCAGAGTCATTTAATTTTCATTTTTAGCAACCGTAAGGGAAATGCACGGACTTGTTATTTCCAGCCATAGGTACTGATATACACCACACACAATAATGTTTTTCCACGTATTTGGGTGAGTTTGTGGCTGAGATGAAGAAAATCAGGAAGGGTGGTGGGGAGGAGGCAGAGAGGAGATAAAAACACAACTTCTCAGCCTCCTTTAAATTGTAGCATCTTGAGCAGAGAAAAGCCTGAATTATGTAAAAGCTGGCCAGGTGCCCACATCTGGCAACAGTCAGATTGTTTGGTAAGCAGGAGGTTCGCCCACAGCACGCAGAGCTGGTCCATTCTGGAAAGAATGTGGAGTGTGTGAGAGGTTCTTGGGACCTGGCTGCCAGATGGCCCTGCCAGGTGAGGACAGTGTTTCTGGTCACTCGACCTCTGGGGCGGGTGAGATGAGTCACTAGCTTCCTGCCAGGCCTTCCCCAGAATGGTTTCCACCCCGGGCTCATTTCTGAGTGAACTGAAAACCATGCCTCTACTTTGGTGTCAGACTTGGAAATCACATTGTTTTTCAGGTCTTGCAAAGGTCCTCAGGGGAAATGAGACCCTTTCCTGTGCCTGCACCTTTAGTTCCCTGACTCGCATAGACTGCCACCTGCCAGCCCCGAAAGCCATGCAAGAGCAGCATCCCCTGTAACTATCTTCCGTTTGCCGCGATTAGACCCTGACATTTCTGAGGCTCATGGAGACCCTGAATCAGGGATCTGAGAGCCCAGCCACGCTGTGCCCCCCGTGGGTTTTCAATGCTGGCTGTGTGTGTATCTTCCAAACAAATACTAACCTGGCCTGGTTTCTGCAGCTCAGACCTACCAAGCCAGCTGAGGTAAATGCAGAAATTAAAATTAAAATGTACATTCTTTCCACAGAGGAACAAAAGAAGAAAACATGTTAAGCAAACACCTTGGAAATTGTTTCTTGCAAGCCCACGACCTGGCATTGCGTGCCGGGGCAGGGCGGCGGCAGCCACAGACAGGGGCATGCCACGCAGGCTGTGCCTGTGCACAGAGAAACCACGGCTCTGTCAAAGAAAAGGTCTTGGGGCCTCTCTGCAAATCCAGCCCTGAAGTATCTGGTATGATTTAGATTTGTTCATAAAAAAACACAGTTGGTTTCTGTTAAGTCCACAGCATTTGAATTTCTGCTCAGATATTCAGCACTAGCAAGATCCTTTGACTTCTCTGTGTGACTTCTCTGTGTTCAGGCTACATTTTTCAATGCCTGGCCAGCTCTTCGGTTTTCTTCTTTCCGTAGAGGAGCAGAGGAGAAAGAAGAGAGAGGAGGGAGCTGAGAGAATGCGTGTTTGACCCTTATCTTCACTGCTAATCGCATACTTGCATGCTCAGTGATTTAGCTACTATTTTAAAAGACATCCTCTGCATTTCCTCTTTCCTTTGGTTACAATTTCCTAGAAAAAGTAGTTTGGAAATTTGACTTAAGCTTTAACTCAGTGGACTTAACCCCACAGGGACAATTTCCAGTGGCTCAGTAGGATTTCTGGCCTCACTGGTGAGCCCCACAGCCAGCCCATCTCAGAGACAGCCTCCTCAGGGACATCAGTCTGAGAAATGCCACCTGGGCAGGCAGCAGGACGCAGAAATGCAAAAGGCATTTGACACACCGTGGCTCATATCTCCATTCTCCTGTGTGTCTGCATTACGGACATCTCTTAAAAACCCATTTCAGTTTAACCTTACATCTAGGAGTCTTAGAACCTTGCTCTAGAAAGACTAGAAAAAACAATTTGGAAAGTCCATGAAGAGAAGAGCCAGGCGTGCAGCGTTTGCCGCAGGCCAATCTTCCTTGCAAATTGCATTGGTTGAGATTGAGGTTACTGGGAGGGCTGAAATAATAATATAAATCAGAAAAGTAACTCTTTCTGCTGGATGCCTGTTTGAACTGAGTACTGGTCTAGGTATAGCATATGGTTGGTCCGTCTCCAATCTTTGGAGACATCTTCTTAGACATCGCTCTCAACCGGACAAAAGAGAAGTAATGCATTGTGTTTAGCTAAGACTGACCTGGGCGGTCCTCTGTATTTGCAAACTATCGACCCACAGAGGAATTGGTGCAGATTCATAAGCAAACAAAACAAAACAGTCATTAGAGCATGGGCCTTAGAATGAGATGGAACTGGTTTGTAATCTTGGCTCTGCCATTTATTAGCTATAAAACCCTGGGAAATCATTTAAACCTTATTTTCCTCGTTTATAAAATGGAAAAAATATATCATGGGGCAGTACGAGGATCCATTGATAAAAAGCACATAAAAGGCACAGTACGATGCTTGGCCAGTAACAGGGGTAATGTCATTACCAGTATTATTCCTAGGAAACATTATTAGGTGGTTTGAGCCATGAATGCATAGATTTTTCAAATATGGTCCTTAAAAAATAAAAAGAATCCAGTTAGTCATCTAAAATCTGTCCTTCTCTAACTCTCAAGCACAGACCTGGATTCTGACACCCGGCATCTTAAAAATGTGCTTGGTCTGCCCTGGGGGTGCTGGCTCCCTGGCAGAGCACACCTGGGGAGTTGGTGTTGAAAGTCACAATTTAGCATTTCAACTGCATCTTCCAGATAAAACACAAAGAACACATACATCGAGGGCACCTTAAACTAACACGTGACCAGTAAGCTCAGAAATCACACTCTGAAGGTGGAGTTGGACCTCACAAACTTAAAACTTTGGCAGGAGTCCCTTGCAAAGCATGGAAAGAATTTCCTTTAGGGCAATCCACGGTAGAGCTGTGAAAAAGAGAAGGAAAACGTAAGACCAAAAGCTGAGCTGGGTGCTTATTTGGCATTTTCATGAAATTAGAATTCTGTTTAGTCTTTCCCTGTAGCCGCAGCTCCGGGTCTCGTCTTCACTTCTCTGTGTCCTGTTCTCCTAGACGCCTAGCTTGTGTGGTCCTGTGACGTGCAGGTATTGGACATCCACAGCTAAGATGCCAGGATCCCCTGGAAGCCTAGAAATGGAACCGTTGACATTTAGGGATGTGGCCATAGAATTTTCTCTGGAGGAGTGGCAATGCCTGGACACTGCACAGCAGAATTTATACAGGAATGTGATGTTAGAGAACTACAGAAACCTGGCCTTCCTAGGCAGACAAGCAACCTCATCAAGCAGCTCCCTGACACCACAGCCAGGTAAATCCACAAAGATGGGAAAAAAACAGCACAAAAAAGATGAAACCATCGAAAACCAGAACCCCTCTTCTCCTTCAAGGCATCACAACTCCTCAACAACACAGGATCACAACTTGACTGAGGAGTGCGACGAACTGACAGAAACAGGTTTCAGAAGGTGGCTAATAACAAACATTTCTGAACTAAAGGAACATGTTCTAACTCAATGCAAAGAAACCAAAAACCTTGAAAAAAAGTTAGACAAAATGCGAATTGGAATAACCAGCTTAGAGAAGAACATAAACGACTTGATGGAGTTGAAAAACACAGCACAAAAACTATGTGAAGCAAACACAAGTTTTAATAGCTGGATTGATCAAGGAGAAGAAAGGATATCAGAGATTGAAGATCAACTCAATGAAATAAAATGAGAAGGCAAGATAAGAGAAAAAAGAGTGAAAAGAAATGAACAAAGCCTTCAAGAAATATGGGATTATGTGAAAAGACCTGATCTATGCTTGATAAGTGTATCTGAATATGATGGGGAGAATGAATCCAAGCTGGAAAACACTCTTCAGGATATTATCCAGGAGAACTTCCCAAGCCTAGCAAGGCAGTCCAAATTTCAAATTCAAGAAATACAGAGAACTCCCCAAAGATATTCCTCAAGAAGAGCAACCACAAGTCACATAATCCTCAGATTCACCAGGGTTGAAATGAAGGAAAAAATGCTAAAGGCAGCCAGAGTGAAAGGCCAGGTCACCCACAGAGGGAAGCCAATCAGACTGACAGCAGATCTCTCGGCAGAAACCCCACAAACCAGAAGAGAGTGGGAGCCAATATTCAACATCCTTAAAGAAAAGAACTTTCAACCCAGCATCTCATATCCAGCCAAACTAAGCTTCGTATGTGAAAGAGAAATAAAATCCTTTACAGACAAGCAATTATTGAGAGATTTTGTCACCACCAGACCTGCCCTACAAGAGCTCCTGAAAGGAACCCTAAGCATGGAAAGGAACAAGTTCTAGTCACTGCAAAAGCAAACCAGCTGACAAAGATGAAAAATGCAATGAAGAAAATGAGTCAACTAATGGGAAAGAAAACCAGTCAGTAACAAAATGGCAGAATCAAATCTACACATAACAATATTAACATTGAATGTAAATGGCCTAAACACCCCAATCAAAAGACAGAGACTGGCAAACTGGATGAAAAGTCAGAACCCATTGGTGTGCTCTATTCAGGAAACCCATCTCACATACAAAGACACACATAGACTCAAAATAAAGGGATAGAAGAAGATTTACCGAGCAAATGGAGAACAAAAAAAAAAAAGCAGGGGTTGCAATCCTAGTCTCCGATAAAATGGACTTCAACAAAGATCAAAAGAGACAAAGAAGGACACTACATAATGGTAAAAGGATCAATCAAACAGGAAGAGCCAACTATCCTAAATACATATGCCCCCAACACAGGAGCACCCAGATATATAAAGCAAGTTCTTAATGATCTAAAATGAGATTTAGACTCCCACACAATAATAGTGGGAGACTTCAAGACTCCACTGTCAATATTAGATGGATCAATGAGACAGAAAATTAACAAGAATATCCAGGACTTGAATGCAGAGCTGGACCAAGTGGACCTAATACACATATACAGAACGCTCCACCCCAAATCCACAGAATATACATTTTTCTCAGCACCACATTGCACATACTCTAAAATTGACCACATCATTGGAAATCACTCCTTAGCAAATGCAAAAGAACAGAAGTCATAACAAACAGTCTATCAGACCCCAGTGCAGTCAGACTAGGACTCAGGATCAAGAAGCACACTCAAACCCACACAACCACTTGGAAACTGAACAACCTGTTTCTGAGTGTCGACTGAAAACTCTGTCTCAAAAAAAAAAAAGAAATACTAGACTTCCATAGAATCAACCCAAATGCCCATCAATGATAGACTGGACAAAGAAAATGTGGTACATATACACCATGGAATACTACGCAGCCATAAAAAATGAGTTTGTGTCTTTTGTAGGGACTTGGATGAATCTGGAAACCATCATTCTCAGCAAACTAACACAAGACCAGAAAGCCAAACACCATATGTTCTCACTCATAGGTGGGTGTTGAACAATGAGAACACGTGGACTCAGGGAGAGGAGCATCACACAATGGGGGCAGTTGAGGGGGGTAGGGAGAGACAGTGGGGGGTGGGGAGGGAGGGGAGGGTGGGGAGGGATAACATAGGGAGAAATGCCAGATATAGTATGCACCTAAAGTAAATAAATTAATTAAAAAAACACAAAGTAGCCAGACATGGTGGTCCCTGCCTGTAGTCTCTGCTACTCGGGAGGCTGAGGCAGGAGAATTGCTTGAACCTGGGAGGTGGAGGTTGTAGTGAGCCGAGATCGTGCCACTGCACTCTAGCGTGGGCAACAGAGTGAGAGTCTGTCAAACATCAGGCACTTATTTTTGAGATGGGGTCTTGCTACATAACCCGGGCAGGTCTTAGTGTTTTGACCAGAAGCAATTCTCCAACTTTAATGTACCATGTAGCTATTATTACAGGTGTGAACCATAATGCCTGGTTCTCTCATAAAGGGATTTTTGTCAGGAATCAGTGACAGATTTTCTTGGTGTCAGAAGATAAGTAAATAGGGCACCCTTTACTTTCTTGTCTTATTAATGTCACTGTCCATATGGATTTTTACTTTTTATTTTCTACTTCAAATTTGTCTGTAATTTTAGATTCAGACATTTAGGGCAATATACTAGAATTTACATGCTGTGTCTGAATTAAATTAGATAATTAGTATGCAGGCAGACAAAAAGGAATTATAAAATTTTAAACTGCTTCTGTTAGCCTATATCTAGAGAATATAATTTATTCCCCAAATATTTGTTTTTTATATGAGACTCTTACCATATTCTGCTGAATGTGTGTGTGTGTGTGTGTATACATATATATACATAATTTAGCAATGTAAGGCTATTCTTTACTTCTAAACTTGGATTACAGTAGTTTTATTTTGTGTAAAAATAGCATATATTTAAAACTTAAAAATTGACACTAGTTTCTTTTAAATGCTTACCTAGTAAAGTTTCTCATTAGCATCTCCTATTTCTGATTGTAGTGCATTTTCCCTCAAATTTTATTGCTATATAATAGATGCCAGTAATTTAAAATTCCTGCCTTCCACAAATGTACAGTGACAGTCAAACATTGCAGTTATCTAGACAAAATACTTTTATTTATTTTTTTGAGATGGAATTGTGCAGGCCGGAGTCAATGGCGAGATCTAGGCTCACAACAACCTCCGCCTCCCAAGTTCAAGCAATTCTCCTGCCTCAGCCTCCCAAGTAGCTGGGATTACAGGCATGTGTCACCACACCCAGCTAATTTTGTATTTTTAGTCGAGACAAGGTTTCTCCATGTTGGTCAGGCTGGTGTCAAACTCTGGACCTCGGGTGATCTGCCCACCTTGGCCTCCCATAGTGTTGGGATTACAGGTGTGAGCCGCCGTGCCAGGCCTATTTGTTAATGTACATTAATGTTGCAAACTAGATTTTATGAGTAAACATTTCTTTTATTATTGTCTTGCAGTTCTATATTAGCGTGTTTTTTTAGTGTAATTTCTTAACATCAGTTTATTGTGTCTATTGGTTTTACTTATGGACTATAATTTTAGATAATTTACAATTGTTTGTATACTTTAATGTGGGGTTTAACTAAAAGATAAATTAGCCATATGTATATCACCATCAGATTATATATATGTCTGTTTATATCCACAGATATGACCCCAATTTTGGTTATACCTTATCTTGTATATATTATTTCTTAGGTCATTTTCTTTATTTTTTCATTGAAATGAAGTTTTGCCTTTGTTGCTGAGGCTGGAGTGCAATGGCACAATCTTGGCAATTCTCCCGCCTCAGCCTCACAAATTGCTGGGATTATAGGCATGTGCCACCATACACCGCTAATTTTTAATTTTTATTTTTAGTAGAGACACGGTTTCCCTATGTTGGTCAAACTGATCTTGAACTCCTGACCTCAGGTGTTCTGCCTGCCTCGGCATCCCAAAGTGCTGGGATTACAGGCATGTGCCACCTGCCCAGTCCCTTAGCTCATTTTCAGTGTTGGTTTTATCTTGTCTAAGTCAGTAGCCTTGGAAATAGTCTTATTTTCACCATGTGTTTAATGATGAATATATATATACTTTGTGTGAGAAAAACACTTTTATGATTTAAAGGTAATTTTTTTTTTTTTGAGTTGGAGTCTTGCTCTGTCACCCAGGCTGGAGTGCAACGGCGCAATCTCGGCTCACTGCAACCTCTGCCTCCCGGGTTCAAGCAATTCTTCTGCCTCAGCCTCCCAAGTAGCTGGGACTACAGGCACGTGCCACCACCCCTGGCTAATTTTTGCATTTTTAGTAGAGACGGGAGTTTCACTGTGTTAGTCAGGATGGTCTCGAACTCAACCTCATGATTCGCTTGCCTCAGCTTCCCAAAGTGTTGGGATTACAGGCATGAGCCACCACATCCGGTGATTTAAAGGTAATTTTAAAAAAGATTTATAATTCTGTATTTTTTCAAGTTTTTTAAAAAAAATTGTAAAGATATATAATTTCCTTCTTAAATCTATTTAAATGTACATGTCAGGAGAAGACACGGTGGTGGGTCACATCTGTGAAACCAGGATTTTGAGAGGCCAGGAAAGGAAGATTGCTTGAGTCCAAAAGTTTGAAAACAGCCTGGGCAAAATATGGAGACATCCTCTCTACAAACATTTTTTTATAAGAAATGGCCAGGCATGGTGGTGTGCACCTGTGGTCCCAGCTACTTGAGAGATTGAGGGGCAGGAGTATTTGAGCCTGGGAGTGTGAGGCTGAAGTGAGCCATAATTGTGCCACTGCACTCAAACTTGGGTGACAGATTGAGACCCTGTCTCAAAAAAAAAAACACCAAAACCAACAAAACTGTATATTTCAGGCATGTCAACTACATTCACCTCATTATGCAAAACACTTCTTGAAATTTTACCTCTTGTAAAACTAAAAATCAATATGCGTTAAATAACATTTACCCATTTTATCCTGTCTTGAGCCCTTGACAAACACAGTTTCACATTCTGTTTTTATGAGTGTGACTATTTTATCTCATCTAAGTGAAATCATAACATCCATCATTTTGTTACTGGCTTATTATACTTGAAATATATTCTCAAAGTGTATCTTTAAATGTCACAAGATTTTTTTAAAGACAATAATATTCCATTGTATTAAATATGTCTTCAAGGGGGAAAAAAGAATTCTATTTAGTAAAATTTCTTCATGACTTTATGGTGTGACCCATTATTGTGTAGAGTTTTTGAGCTCATGATGAAGGATGTGTGCAGCCAAGAGGCAGTGTCAAATCATTCCCATCTCCAGAGTGCTGGTGATGGTAGAAATAATTACATATTCCTTCTAAACTCATTGATTTTTGAGATGCTGCTAAACGAGATTTTTGTGA